ATAGGCATCCTAAAGTGATGTCAGGTGTCTCATGTCTGCACAATGGCACACCTCCAACCTGATCAACCAGGTTCCTTGAGCAGCAAGTATGACAATTTACGGAATTAGGTGATTGATGAATAGCCGGGGATGAATGATAAAGAAGTCTTTCGAATTCAGCAATTGGATGACCAGTGGCCATTTGAACAGCCTCAGATGCCAGTTGTGCCCTACAAGCATTATTTACTGCTTCTAGTATTCTGTTTGAATCAGATTCAAATGTATTTACATCTCTAGGTATGTCAGATTTTTTTATGTGGTTAGCTGCATTGAGCTTGTTATTGATCAGTTTATCAGTTGTACTTGGTTTTGAAAGCCTTCCTTTGAATCCGTTGGAAGAAAACGTTAAGTCTCTAGAACTTTGACATGTGGGCACCACTGCAACATCAGAAACAGGATTGTGAGTATTGAAGGCTGCGTTCCCTTTAGCAGTGTCTTTAAGAGTCCATCTCCTAGAAGCTGCCTCATCAGAATGTTTGAGTGATGAACTGCCAGATCTAGTAGAGTTTGTCAACCTGGGATTCTTCAACCCAGCTGGCATCCACTTGTGGGTAAAAGATCCAGAAGTACAAGAGTTTTGCCTGCAGCTTTCCGCAAGAGACGTTTCTTTCTGTACTTCTTGACTTGTTGCATTACAAAGTAGATGAGGAAGGTAGGCTAGAGACTGCATTGTGCTATTCTCATTTCTTGCACTTTGATTCTTCATGTGAGATACACTATTACCGACACTTTCAAGATGATCCATTTCAATTGGACAGAGTCGTATGGTGGGAACTGATTCAGAGGTCATGCATTCTACTTTGCTGCTCTGAAATCCAGTGCTTGGACAGCTAGGCAGAGAACAAGATCTCGTAGCATGATCTAATCCTTTGTTGCCCTTCGCATGATCTGATATATCATTTTGTTCTATCATATCCTTCACACAACCATCTAAGCTGGAGAAGCTGGCATAAGACCCCTCCCTGGAATAACAATTGTATTCTTGTTTCAAAGCCGGATCACCTTTTCTTTTCAATTTCTTCGAAACCTTATCTTTTTGCTGTTTTCTATCCTCACTCTTTGGAAAGGCATTTACGTCAGCAGCGTTACAGGGTATTTTAAGCAAAGGGGACTTTCTCGAAGGGAGATCGTAACATGAGTAAACAGAACTTGCTTTCTTCAACTCCCCAGTGCAGTCGCTGGATTCATTTTTCTGGACCTTTTGCCAGACAGACTGATTGGTTTCCTTCCCTGTATGCAGATTTCCAAAACTTCCAAATTTAGAGACATTTGAATTTCGAGGAGCGACTTTGTTTTCTTTACTTCTCTTGTTATGTGCAACGAGTTGCACGTCACTATTGCTACGACCCTGAATACCATGCCTTGTTCCCTCAGTGTGGCTGTAGGAATCCATGGCATCATTTAACGAGCTTTGACAAGAGAAATATCCCTTTCTTGAACTCAAACTTGGCGGTTCAGAAATATATATATTGTGAGTTTCCGTCTCAGCATGTTTTTCATCACGACTAGTAGTAGTACTAATATCACTGTTTGAACCAAAAGAAACTGAATCCAAAATGAATGAGTCATGGATATCAGAGTAACGTTTGGTATACAAATCATTGTAACCGCTCGCCTGCATATGAATACCTTCCACTTCGTTGAAGATGGCAAATCCAGAGTCTTCGAGTAGAACCTGATTTCCAAAATTACTGACAGCAGGTATACCCGCCTCATCACTTGAAGAGGTGCATGTATTTGGTGTTTCAGAAATCCTGGTTCCACCATCTGGCAATGAATTATCTGGTGCAGTTGAAAATGACAGTGTTCTGTCTCCATCATTGTTGCCACAGGTTTCAGAAGCTGAGCTTCCATTGGGATATTCCACATACAGCACTTCCGGTTCATTAGAGATAGTGTTGATTGAAAACTTCTTGTCCTTCTTTCGATTCTTCTTTCTCGAACTTCTTTTTGCGGTGTTGTCTATTTTTTGGTTACTGATACTCAAAGTTGATGAGTTAACAGCATTAGAACCATTTGGGATGGTACTTGCTGAATCACTGCAGGTTAAAGATTTGTGAAAAGATTTCCTGGGAACTCCATTCCACTTAGTACCTTTACTTGTCAAGGTCTTATTTCGAGGTTGGTGTCGCACGCTTGAACCAGTGAAGCTTCTGTTTGTAAATGACTTGACAGAATAAGTGACGTCAAGGGGAGGCATTTTGTGAACCCTTTGTCGAGTAACCTTGAATGGGTTCATTGGTGGCGGGTAAAGCAGATGTAGATTATCCATATTCACCAGAGAATCAACTACCGAGTGATTTATATTGTAAGGACATTGTGCTGGTAGTTCCATGATTCTCCGTTGTCCACCAGGTTCAAGGGCAAGGAATGTAAGGATACCACACCTGAAATGTCAAATTAAAAGTCATTCCTCAGCAATAACAGAAGAGAACCAGAAAAATAAAAGGTATAAAAGTAATGATAATCTTAGCAATGTCCTACAAACGCTGATCTAATGTCGGTGACCTGGTTTATTGCTTCAGTCAAAGTATAAAATTTCTTGGACAGTCCACACCAATCAGGAATTGCAGGCATAATCTGACATACTTATGCATACGCATTTTGTTATGCATTAGATGTATATATGATGATTAAGAAACATGCAAAACCATCAAAGGAATAGAGGTCGGGTTATGCATTGCTAAATACTTAACAACTAATTCAAAAGACAGAAGAAAGCATACAACCTCAATTTAGTGGATTACTTTCACCATACATCTGTGAGAAACAAGCAATTAGGCAATGGCAATCGAAACAGTCTTACCTACGATCAGAGTTTCTCCATGTGACAGAAGGCACTTCACAATCCTGAGCAAGGTAGTAATCGACAGAAAACTAGTCAGATGTATGGTGAAAAGTGAAGTAGATCCAAATTGATTTGTAAAATAGACATATATTACTGCTAAAGATGTTCCAGAACTTTCTTGTTTCCTTGACAACGAATCTCTTCTTGTGTCTGAAATTTTCTGGATATCACTGGTGGTCCTTGGAAGGGCACAATGCATCTTGCCGTGCCTGCCCACGTCGTCAACACAAATAAAACAGTTAGTGATGTTCTAATACAAAATTATAAGGTGCTAATGTATTCAAAATCTTAACACTTCACAGCATCAGCAAGTTAGATTTTACAATTGTAGTGCATTAAGAAGAACCTCAATTTTTAGCACTTTTTCACAAGCAGCACACCCGCATTAGTTTCGTTAGTTTGCAACCCAGAACCTTATAGTGACTAACACAACAAAACCAAACAATAGCATCTTCTCTCTATCCTAGAATCCAAACCAATTGGCAACCCAGAAACATCACTTTATTATGACATTCTCAGAAGAGTTGTGTTAGGCTGTTAGCTAGCGGCTTTACTTGTCCCGTAGTCATATATTGATTGCATCCAAAATTCTTATTGCAGCTTGGACATGGCTTATTGACACCTTCGCCGTGCAACCTTTGGTTTGTCGAAAAGCCCGGTTCTCTATTGGATGGGTTTCGCTTTGGTTTACAAATTGCATTTGTCTACAAAAACTCTCAAACACTAACTAAGACAACAATTACGAAGGTAATACCAAAACAACAATAATGCCTTCAATCAAATGAGGCAACGATACCATGTCAATCCACTAGACTCAAGTAAATTAATCGTGTAACTAAAACAACAATTCCGAAAATAAAAGAACGTTCTCTTTTCCAAGCATTCATAATCTGCAGAAAAAAGAACATAGGATTGAAGGCAAAGTACCTCAAAGGTGTTCAAGATGAAGGTTGAAACATGAACAAATCCTTATTCGCTTTTATCCTCAAACAAGTAGAAGGCATTGCTTGCATAACACACAAGTTGGCAACCAAACATTCACCACTTCTGCAAATTACCCTTTTTAACAAAAAGGATTGAAGCTGAAAGCAGAAATGCAAAAATGTAGATAAAAAGGAAGAAAAACAGAGAAAATAGAAACAAAATATGGTTTGCTGACAATCCTCAGACTAAAATTCCATCTACAACCCACTCATTAAATTTACTAATTTAGACTGAAACCCAGCTAAATTTATCCCAAAAATATGAGGAAAAAAGAAGAATTTACCTGAGAAATTCCCTAAAAATAATTAATTCAAAAGAAATGGATTGACTAACTTGAAACATTGATGAGGAATCCAGAACTAAATTTGACTGCAACCCATGAATCAAATCTTGGAAAAGAAGTGTCTAAAAATGTAAATAAAAGATTGCACTGTAGTTGCAGAGAAAGCTCCCCAAATTTAGGTGTGAGGTGGAGAATATCTATAGCTAAAATTACTCAGCTGATTTCCCCAAAACCAAATCTCACCCAATCTCCAATTTCTTATTTAGGCCTATGCTTCAAGATATCAAAATTTCACTTGCATGCACATATTATAGTTTTGCCTATAAATACTTCAATACTTTTTTCATTTTCTAATCAAGTTTTGCCTATAAAATGTTATTAGCACTTCAAAAATCTCATTCTACACTCCTCACAAATTTATTGTAGGGGAACAATTTTCATTCTTTTCGTGCTATCTTCAATCATGTTCGTCGAGAAGCAAATATAATTTGGTGAATGATATTAGCTTTCATGATTAATGTAATTTGAAACGTAGTACTATTTTCTTTCTTTTGAACGTGTTAAAAAGGGTCAACAAAGTTTCGACGAGGCCACATTATGCATCCTATTACGTACAACTCATATTCTCTTAATATTGTACTTCTCCCTCCCACATTATGTATTCAGTCTCTTATTTTTTCTCTTAATTATTAGCTCTTCTCTTCTATTTCTCCGTCATTTTATATATTTTTTTCTCCTATCAATGACAAAAGGATAACTCTTTATTTCTTTCTTTTTTTTGGTAAACAAACAGAGCTAAACGTTCAAAAAGAGAAACTAAAACAAAATAACCAAGCGTAATAATTGATTTTGTAGAGAGAAAAAGATAAATTTTTTGAAAAAAAAAAAAAAAAAATACTCAATGAAAAGAAATGTTGGTTAGTCGCAGCTTCCTCTTCCCTCCGATTTACAAACTCACCTTCTTCACCCAAGCCCAACACCCACACACTCGCCTTCTCTTTCAGTCTCATCGGATTCAAATTATGGCTGCGGAGGCCACCACCTCATCCAATACGACCGCGAAGGTGGCGGGGATGGACTTCCCGACGAAAAAGGCCTACGCTCCTCCTTGGGCGTCGCACATCAACCCCATCCCTTCTCACACCTTCCCTCTCGGACACGTAAAAACCCAATTCTCTTCTTCCTCTGCTCATGCTTAGCTATCGATTACTGTTTCTGATTGTATTGATTACTGATTAGCAGCTGCTTTGTGCTTGTAATCGCAGTTTCCCACTCCAATTCACAAATGGAATATTCCCAATTTACCCCCAACACTGAGGTCTGGTTTGTTGGAAATTCAAATCAAAACAGGTTGTAAAATATTGCTGCTAGCTGTTTGTTGCTTTCCAGCTACAAAGAACAAAGTCTCCTCCATGTGCTAGCCGAAAGGTGTTGAAAGACAGCAAGGAATGATGCAGAGCATGTGTGTAAAAGTGTCTAGCAGCTGGTGCATATGTGAAAGGGTGTAAAGATGGTAATCACCATCTGTCGCTGCATGTGTGTGTGCCAGATTGTTCTAAGTTCATTTGATCTGTTTGAATGGTTGTATGTGTTGTTGTATTTTTTTATTTAAAGCACTTGAGTGGTTCTTTGCTGTTTGGAATGTATAAATAAGCCTCTCGTAAGGCTTTAAATGATAGAGTGTATCATCCGAAACATTAAATCCAATTCCCATTTCCATTTCAGCTTGTAAGCTCCAAAAGAGTTGTAAACCTCTTTCTAATATTTCAAAGTGTTTGTTATCCCCAAGCTTGTTATTCCCTTTCGTTTGTCCAATATTATTGAGAGTGAAAGTGAGAGGTGTGATAGAGTTTGTAAACCTATCACCCACATCATTTGGTATTGAGTTAGTAAACTGTCAAATACCAACAATTGGTATCAGAGCCAGAATACCATTCTGGCAAGTGCAGTAGCTATGGCGTCCAACTTAGTGCAACTCCAAGTTCCCACATTGAAGAAAGAAAATTATGAAAGATGGTGCATCCAATTCAAAGCATTGTTTGGATCACAGGAGCTATGGGAAGTTGTCAGTAGTGGGTATGTTGTACCTACTGCCGAGCAAGAAGCCACATATACTGCAGATCAAAGGAACACTCTCAAGGATTTACGAAAGAAGGACCAGAAGGCGTTGTATCTTCTTTATCAAGGATTAGAAGATTCAACGTTCGAGAAGGTTGCAGAAGCAACAACGAGCAAGCAAGTATGGGACACACTCAGTACAATCTACAAAGGAGTAGATCGGGTCAAGAAAGTGAGATTACAGTCACTTCGAGCAGATTTTGAAACTGCTCACATGAATGAAGGAGAGAGCATCTCCGACTATCACTTAAGGCTCATTGTGATAGTAAATCAGATGAGGAGAAATGGCGAGAGACTCGATGAAGTACGAGTTGTGGAGAAGATACTCCGGTCACTCACATCTAAGTTTGAGCATGTGGTGACTGCCATTGAGGAATCCAAGGATTTGGAGGTGATGAGTGCAGAGGAGCTACTAGGATCCCTCCTAGTTCACGAGCAACGCATTCAGAAGAATGCAAGCCCCACAACGCTAGAGCAAGCTTTGGAGTCAAAGTTGAATATTGACAAACCAAATAAAGGTCGTGGGCAGTGGAACTCACGTCGTGGGAGCTCATCCAACCGTAGCCGAGGACGAGCCCGAGGAAGAGGTCGAGGCTATGCACAAAATCAAGGTCAGTCTCAGGAGTGGAGATCTACTCGAGGAAAGGCGCATATCCAGTGTCACAACTGTAAGCAATATGGACATTATGCCAATGAATGTTCACATAAAAATGGTGAGCATGTCAACATGGCAGAATCAAGTGGAAATACTGATGAAGAACTTACAGTCTTACTAGCACACCATGATTCCAGTAGCCAACAAGATGTTTGGTATTTGGACTCTGGTGCAAGCAATCACATGTGTGGAAAGAATGAGTTTTTTGCCAAACTCAAAGATGGGGCCTATGGATCTGTAAGTCTTGGTGACTCCTCAAAGTTGCCAGTTGAAGGCAAAGGGAAGATCAAGATCATCCAGAAGGATGGTAGAGAAGAATACATCTCCGATACCTACTACATACCAGGTATGAAGAGCAACATTCTGAGCATTGGTCAACTGCTCCAGAAAGGGTACATTATACATATGGAGAACATGCTTCTCACTCTCAGGAATGCAAGGAGAAAGCTTATTGCACGTGTTCGAATGTCAAAGAACCGGATGTTTCCGTTGAATTTGAACACAAAGATTGGAAGCTGCAACATCGGTGTAATGGAAGATGAGTCATGGAAATGGCATCTTCGATTTGGCCATCTTCATTTCAATGGCCTAAAGTTGCTGTCAAGTGGAGGAATGGTTCGTGGTCTACCCCAGATTGAAGCCACACGCCAAGTATGTGAAGGTTGTGTGCTTGGCAAGCAAGCACGACTATTGTTCCCTGTTGGTGATACATGGAGAGCAAAGGCACCACTGCAGTTGGTGCACACAGATATATGTGGTCCATTGGATCCCATGTCTTATGGAGGTAATAGGTATTTTATTACCTTTATTGATGATTTCAGTAGAAAGACTTGGGTTTATTTTCTCAAGGAGAAGTCAGCTGCCCTAAAAATTTTCAAGGAGTTCAAGGCACTCACAGAGGCTGAAAGTAACCACAAGCTTGTGGCTGTGAGATCAGATAGAGGTGGAGAGTACACCTCCAATGCTTTCCAAGCATACTGCAAGGAGCAAGGAATTAGGCATCAACTTACTGCTGCCTATACCCCACAGCAAAATGGGATAGCCGAAAGAAAGAATCGAACCATCCTTGACATGACAAGGTCCATGCTTAAGGAGAAGAATTTTCCAAAAGAGTTATGGACAGAAGCTGTAGCTTGTTCGATTTATTTGTTGAATCGATGTCCAACAAAGAGTGTCAAGAGGATGACACCACAAGAGGCTTGGAGTGGATACAAGCCGAATGTTACACACCTAAGAATTTTTGGGTGTGTTGCATATGCTCAAGTTCCAGAAGCCAAGAGGAGGAAACTTGATGATAGAGGTGAGAAGTGTGTGTTTGTGGGCTATAGTGAAGAGTCCAAGGCATACAAGCTCTACAACCCACTAACTGGCAAACTAGTGGTTAGTAGAGATGTCATCTTCAGTGAGGAAGAGACATGGAAGTGGAACAACAAAGAAGTCAGTAAAGAGAAGATCGTCTCCACTGATTTTGAAGAACCAGAAGTTGTACCACCGATTGAGCAACAGCCTACTCAAACAATCACAACAACTCCAGTGCACAGAATTGCAAGGAGTGGTCCTACATCTAGTGAGGAAAGCAGCTCCTCAACTCCAGTGAGGTTAAGGAGTCTCACAGAGATTTATGGACAAGAAGAAGAAGAAGAAACCAACTTTTTCTGCTTCTATGCAGACCACGAGCCTCTCTCATTCAATGAAGCTGTGGAAGAAGATTGTTGGAAGAAAGCCATGGAAGAAGAGATCCATGCCATCGAGAAGAATGACACTTGGGAGCTGACAAAGCTCCTACCAAATCAGAAGGCTATTGGTGTCAAGTGGGTTTACAAGATCAAACGCACTGCAGATGGGAGTGTGGATCGATACAAATCAAGGCTTGTAGCAAAGGGCTACAAACAGAAGTATGGAATGGACTATGATGAAGTCTATGCTCCAGTTGCAAGACTTGACACGGTAAGATTACTAATCTCTCTTGCCGCTCATCATAAATGGAAAATTTATCAACTAGATGTCAAGTCAGCCTTCCTTAATGGAGTTCTTGAGGAAGAAGTGTACGTGGAACAACCAGAAGGCTTCCAAGTACAGGGAAAAGAAGATAAGGTGTATCGTTTGAGGAAAGCTTTGTATGGCCTCAAGCAAGCACCACGAGCTTGGAACTCAAGGATTGACAACTACCTTCACCAAAATGGATTTCAGAAATGTCCATACGAGCATTCAGTTTACATGAAGAATGGTGCAAAAGGGGAGTTCTTAATTATTTGTCTCTATGTAGATGACTTGTTGTTTACAGGAAACAATGAAGCAATGTTCTGTGAGTTCAAGCAATCCATGTTCAGTGAATTCGAGATGACTGACAATGGATTAATGTCATACTTTCTTGGCATAGAAGTGAAGCAAGAAAGTGATGGTATCTACATCTCTTAACAAAGGTACATAAGAGACATATTGAAGAAGTTCAATATGGACAAGTGCAACACTGTCAATACCCCAGTCGCAACTGGATTGAAGCTGTCCAAAGGAGGAGAGGGTGAGTTTGTAAACTCAACAGTGTACAAAAGCCTCGTTGGAAGCCTAAGGTACCTTACAATCACAAGACCTGATATAGTTTATGGTGTTGGACTCGTGAGTCGATACATGGAAACACCAAGGGAGTCTCATTGGCTGGCCGCCAAGAGAATTTTGAGGTACATAAGAGGTACTCTAAACTATGGTCTATTTTATAATTTTGGTGAAGATGCAAAATTATTTGGTTATTCAGATAGTGATTGGGGAGGTGACCAAGATGAAAGGAAAAGCACAACTGGCTATGTGTTTTTTCTAGGATCAACAGCTTTCTCATGGACTTCAAAGAAGCAATCAATTGTTGCTTTGTCATCATGTGAAGTCGAGTATGTTGCTGTAGCCTCAACCGTGTGTGAGGCAATTTGGTTAAGAAATCTGTTGAAGTCAGTGTGTCATCCACAAGTGGAATCGACTGTGATTCATGTAGATAACGTGTCTGCAATCAAACTTGCAAAGAATCCTGTTCAACATGGAAGGAGCAAGCACATTGATACCAGGTTCCATTTTCTAAGGGACCATGTGAAGCAAAAGACAATTGAACTTGTCTACTGTCACACCAAGGAACAAGTGGCAGACATCTTCACAAAGCCATTGCCAATTGAATCATTCCGGCTACTGCGTGAAATGCTAGGAATGAAGGCGTTTTGATTTGAGGAGGTGTGTTGGAAATTCAAATCAAAACAGGTTGTAAAATATTGCTGCTAGCTGTTTGTTGCTTTCCAGCTACAAAGAACAAAGTCTCCTCCATGTGCTAGCCGAAAGGTGTTGAAAGACAGCAAGGAATGATGCAGAGCATGTGTGTAAAAGTGTCTAGCAGCTGGTGCATATGTGAAAGGGTGTAAAGATGGTAATCACCATCTGTCGCTGCATGTGTGTGTGCCAGATTGTTCTAAGTTCATTTGATCTGTTTGAATGGTTGTATGTGTTGTTGTATTTTTTTATTTAAAGCACTTGAGTGGTTCTTTGCTGTTTGGAATGTATAAATAAGCCTCTCGTAAGGCTTTAAATGATAGAGTGTATCATCCGAAACATTAAATCCAATTCCCATTTCCATTTCAGCTTGTAAGCTCCAAAAGAGTTGTAAACCTCTTTCTAATATTTCAAAGTGTTTGTTATCCCCAAGCTTGTTATTCCCTTTCGTTTGTCCAATATTATTGAGAGTGAAAGTGAGAGGTGTGATAGAGTTTGTAAACCTATCACCCACATCATTTGGTATTGAGTTAGTAAACTGTCAAATACCAACATGGTTAAAGGTATTTTCTTTTACTTTTTTCTCACTTGGATTTGCTTTCCTATAGAAAAATACCATTTGGGTTTTGTCATATGTGTTATATATAATGATGCACATACTTTGAAATTGAATTGTTATGGATGAATGCTCAAATTAATTTTAAGCTTTCACTCGATCAAATATCGATACTTCTAACCGCGAATTTGACAAAAATGTTGCATCTTTTGTTCAGAGCTGGATTTGTGGATTTTATGTCCCCCATGACTTATGTGTAAAATTATAGTTAGCGATTTTTGAGGTGTTATTATTTGAGTTGTTACTTTGGTTTTATGTCTTCACTTACCTGGTTCTACACTGACAGAAGTATTTGCAAATATCTAGCGTGATGATCTTACGGGAATGCAGCTGAGCGGTAACAAAGTCAGAAACTTGGAGTTCTTGATGGCAGATGCGGTGGAGAAGGGTGCGGACTGTGTCGTGACGATAGGCAGCATCCAAAGCAACCACTGTCGTGCAACTGCAGTGGCTGCAGGTATCTCAATCTTGACTGCTATCTCATTCTACGTATCTCAATCTTGCAGTTGGTTCCACAACTTGTTTTTATAATGAAATAAGTAATTTGGTGCCCTCTTTGGTGTTGGCTTGGAACTCGATGTCTCTTACTGCATGCCATCTTCTTTGGCTTGTTCACGTGGGAATTGAAGTTGCATGGCATCTTAACGTTACCTTGGTCTTCACCTTCACGTGGATGGTGCCTTGCAGTAGCAGACAAAGGTCTTTGTTTCCAATGCTTCCAAATTCCAAAGCTGCATGAAAATATTTCCAAAGCTGCAGCTCTTTCTCAGATTGTTTTAGACTTTCAGTCTCATCAGATTCACAGAAATGGAAGTGGCAGTCAACACCAAGAACAGCTCCGATACGGCAGCGAAGGCGGTGGCGATGGACTTCCTGACGAAAAAGGCCTACACTCCTCCTCCGTGGGCATCGCATATCGACTCCATCCGTTTCCACACCTTCTCTCTCGGACAAGTAAAACCCATTTCACTTCTTCCTCTTTGCCTCGTATATATTTCTATATATATACGATTACAGATTGCTGTTTATTTATGTAATTTTCCTGACTAGAAATTGACAGTTGCTTAATTAGTGTTTGTTAATTGTTATCAATAATCACTTGTCAGTTTCCAACTCCAATTCATAAATGGGATCTTCCCAATTTGCCACCCAACACCGAGGTCTGGTTAAAGCCTTAAAGGTATCTGCTTTTGGTTTTTCCTCATTGGTATTTGATTTCCTACAGAAACTTCCCGTTTGGGTTTTTCCCGGTTGAATAGACTTGAGTTGCTAAAAGTGTTTTCTGACACCCAAAAAACGCTTCTAACTAGGTTTGGCATACAAACTTTATTTTAAGATCCTCCTAATTAAAGATGGAGATTTCGAATGCGAATGAGTGAATAGGCTGCCCTTTGTAAATTTTATTTATAAATTGATTATACCTAGCATTAGCCTTTAGATTATGAAATTTATACAGTTAAGGGATGGACATATTTCTCCTTGTACTACTTATTTTTCTTCAAATGCCAATTAGTATGCCGCATTTGAATAAATTGACTAAATTCCCTTTAAATAAATAGTTATTTTTTGGTAAAAAAAACTTATTAATTGATTTGCTTCTAAAACTGTCATTTAGTCTTATTTTACTCGATAAAATTAATTTTGTCTCGCTTTGCTCTTTGAAATTGTTATTTTTGTCTTATTTAGTCTCAATTGACCAATTTTCTTTTATTTTATCAAATAAAAATTAAATTAAAAGGTAATTAAGAAATTTTATTTTTAACACAATTCTTTACCACCAACTTGCATACTAAAGCAATTCCAATTTCAATCTAATTTAAATCTCCGTGTGTCTATCTTTCGGGTTGGTGTGTAGCTGTAGCTGCCACACTCTTTTTAAAAGTGAAAATTTCAAATAGTAATAACATTGGCGGGAGGTTTTTTTTGGAGCCAAATTGAAATATTTCGTTAGTGGGTCGGGCCCACAATTTCAAAAATGAGTTAATATTTGCTGCAGTTCGCTGCCCGCCTGATATCAAAGCGAGGAGCCACATTTTCCTTTCCAAATATTACCCAAGAAACCAAGAAAAAACGAAGAGCCGCTGTGGATCCATATCTGGTAAGTGCTAATTCCTCCTCCTTTTTTATCAATTCAAAGCCCTGAATTTATAGAATTCCACAGATTTAATTCCTCTTTATTTTCTTCTGGAACTTGATTCCATCTGGCCGGGTTATTAATTATTAATGCCTTTATATTTTATAGTTTTGGAGATGATTGTTCTCTATTAATGCTAGGGGTTTTAGATTTAAGCTAATTCTGCTGTGCATAATATGATAGTTCATTTGTTATAAAAAGAAACACCATTAATTAGCAGTTGTTCAGTATTCTTCTTGAATCCAACTTTTTTGTTTTGGAAACTGATGAGTATTAAATAGTTTAGCTACATTCATCGTTTTTCAAAACAAAGAATCAAATTCAAGAAGGATATCAAACATGCAAATTTCCATTAATTTTGCATTCGTATAGACGTGCATTAGGTCCTCTGGACTGGACAGTTTGCATGCACTTCGACACAAATTCGAATCTGCGTAGGTTAGAGTAGTTTATATTGTCGCACCGTAAATAAAATCGAATATTTCATTTACAGCTGCTCTGGATTAGTTTCTAATTAATGCCATTGTTGTGCTTGTGTTTCTTTGAATTAAAGAAAGGTGGAACTAGCAATGGTACTTAAGAGCACTATCCCGGGTTCAGTTGAAGCGGGCAAAAACGACCTTTGCATCCCTATACTTCAAAGTTACGAGATCAAGAATGTTCCCCTTAGAAAAACTCGTTCCCCTCAAGTTTTGGGAATTGACATCGGCCTCGGTGGAGATGTTCAGTCGTGTAAGCGTTGTCGTCGTTCTGAAAGTATATCAAATATGCTAATTTGTGATCGCTGCGAAGAAGCGTTTCATGTAAAATGCTGCAAGCCCCGAGTGGTTTTTCCAGTTGACGACTGGTTTTGCGGTTCCTGTTCCAAAATTTTGTCCGAAAAGTTGCAGAACGATTCTTTCCTGAAATCTCCTAGTAGCATGGGTTTGAGGTTTGGCTTAACGTGTAAATTTGAGCTGGGTCCAATAGCAGTTATGTTGAAGTACCCCGAGCCATTTGCGTCTAAAGTTCGGATTGGTGAAGCCTATCAAGCAGAAGTTCCTGACTGGTGTGATCAAATTCCTAAGTATGTTATGCTGGTAGCATTAGTCTGCTCAATTGATTCTTGTTTTGTTCGCCTGTCGTATTGGCTAGTACTATCTGTTTAATTGAGTTCTTATAAATCGACTATAATGTTGCAGGACTCCACTGTCTGAAGTTGAAACTGATGACGGGGATTGTTCTCTTGCTGTTGTTTTGGACCCATCTCATTCTGATTGTGCTGATCCTCCTCCTCTGGTAATATAAAATCTTCAACCGATTGCTAGTTTTCTGTATCAGAAAGTTACCCTTAATTACTGTTACTTTGTTAGTGCAACAATTGCACTGGACAAGTACATTTTGCATGTCCATTGTATGTGATTTCAGAATAACATAGGTCAAACCAGAACACATGAAGATAGCTTATTTAGCAATCAAGAAAGTTGGAGGAAAATTTATGCACGCCTTTTTTCTTCTTTTGCAAAAGCCTATGAATTTATGTTCGTTGATTCTCTTTTGTTTTATTCAATCAAAAGATGCATGGGAGAGAAGGGTCGTGCGGGGGTCACTTCCTAAGTTGAAACCATAAAACAATAGTTTGCTTGCTTGATTGGTTTTGAAGTTTGAACAGAACAATTTGTTGATATATACTAGTCCAGATGATCTTGCATCTTCTTCAAGTAGTAACTTTTCCTGTTTTACTTTGTTCATGTGGATTTAACAATTGCTTATTTGTACTTGCTGTGTGTAGATGGGATCAGAAAATGGCATTGCTTCTAGAAAGAGAAAACTAGAAATGGTGGAAAGCCCCTAAAACTAGAAGTCAGGTGAGTATACACAGATACAACTTTTTTCACTTAAGGGGTGCTCAATAGGTACTAAAACACGTCTTAGCGTCTCTTCAGTGCCTGTTTAGCGCGCTTTTAGTGAAAACGTCTATGCTTAGTTGAAGATTTGCAAAAGGTTCCCTCTTGTGTATTTCCTATTAGAATAAGAAAGTTTCTGATGTGAAGAACTTCTTGTTTGTCCAGTTTTTGACACACTACCCATATACCGATCAGACGTTAAAGGAAGAAACTAGAAAGTTTATGTATCTGTATGCGTACATGCCTCCAAACTGCAAAGTCCAAATTACGAATACAAAGTGGTGGTAAGTAATTTTATGTGAGATCACAGGTGAAAACCTTGTACTTTAGTTTTTAAGCCATAGGAATTAGAACAGCACAATGTCTTTTAGTACTCTTAGTACTCTAAGTCAGCAAATAGTAATCATTCCTCCCATTTTTTATTTCTCCTTTGAAATTTGTTTCAATTTTTGGTTGGTGGTAATGCGTCACAGGGTTACAGATGAGGCAAAAGTTTGTGTGTATTCAAAGCTATGATAATGTGATAGAGAGAGAGAGAGAGAGATAATTAAGGAATACACTTTTCGTTACACGATAGAGTGCTATGTGGAAATTTTGCTCATCTATAATTATGATATTTGAAAATTTGATTGATGGATTGGTTTGGCACTACCTTTTGCTTGATGAGAAATTTTTTAGAGTGTTGGAAATACGGTCTGGCACACTAAATGTCATATTTCAATTTTTTTAAGTTTTCAATTAATTTAGGCTATTACATTTGTTGTACTGAGCTATATTTACGGCATGTTAAAAAATCTCTCTTGTTGGACAAGTATGCTATGCATGAACAATATCATGTTTGCAAGAGAAATCTTGGTAGGGCTATTAGTAGGACAACTCATAGGAGGAGAAATTAGGACAATATCTGATGAAACCAAAATTATAAAATTTACAATTTTATGAAAAGTGTTTTATAGATAACGTGATCGAGTATTCTTACTCGAGTGAAATGTTGATTTAGTCTCTAAATGATCACTTTAATAAAAATTAGGTTCTTAAATTATTTTTTTGGGTAAAATAAGTTCCTAAATTCATTAAAAATTACTAATTTCATCCATACTATCTAATTTTTCGTTAACTTAAGTCACTTGACACACTTTAGAGTGTATACCATCATTTTCTCGTCTATAAGCTCTTAACATTTCATATAGGTTGCGAAGCTAACATTTAATTTCTCTTTCAAAATTAACTTTATACATTATTTTTTATGAAAATTACCAATCTACCTTCTAATATATAATTTTGAATATAATATTAAAGATGTAATAAACAAATTTTATAATATAAGAAATAATTTTCCTAAAAAGATGATTACAAAATTTAATTTTTACTCAAATTATAATTCATAAACTAAATTAGCAATTCACCTTTTTTATTCAAAGTTTTGTTTTGTTTTACGAAGTTTCAGTCGAACGACGAGAGAAGCCAACCACCACCAGTCAGTCAACTTCACTACCAACGACAATTCCTTCTTTTGTTTCTTTCTTTGCTTGCTTCCTTTCTTTCTCTTTCAACCGAAAATCATTTTCATTTGTGTAAAAGACGATTGATTGCATAGTTTCTGGTTTAATCCGATCCCGTTACTCCATTTCCATTACTGGACCAAATTACTTCAAAGTTCCAAATCATTTGCCATATCCTTAAAGCTAATTAGTTCATGCATTGTAATTTAGAGTTTAACTACAAATATGAATGGTTTAATACCTGGAATACTGAGAAAAACTTCAGGAAGACAGAAAGCCCCTCAAACTCACTCCAATTGTAAATACTTTTTTAAACGTGACAAATTTTTATTGAACTTGCAGTACAAGAGTTTAACCACGTATGTTTACTACAAATGCACGCGAAACCATTAATGGGTCCACATTGGGTTCACTGTCATAAAAAGAATTTAACCCAATGAATAGACTCCACGTGCGCTTGAAGACTTTCTGTCCTTTCCTACCGACCCAAAGGTGGACAGAAATCAAAACGAGCTGGGGGAGGATAGCAGATAGATGAGTCGGTAGCGACGCTTTAAAATAAAGCAGGGTAAAATGGGCAACTTGGCCAATCATTTTCAGTACGTGTCCTTAATTCTGCTTTACGTTATGCTTTATTATTCGGCTAGCCTTTCTTTTCTCGCACAAAGTTTTGAGGGAACAGTATAAAGGCAAATAATCAACTTCTCCTCAGTTCCTCCTCCACCCTCTCACTACCTGCAACTGCAAGTCTGCAACCAGGCTCCATATTTTTGTTCCCTAATTTCTTCTTCTTTCTTCCTAAAATTTAATAATTTATTAAGATGGCGATCTCAACGACATCCGGTGACCGTCTTGGAGAGCTGGTGAACTGTACCTTTGCTTCCAGATATGTGCGTAACGACCTCCCTAAGTATGTTCTTCCACTCTTTAATTCCTTAATACCCCTTTTTTTTTAATATTTATAAATACTAAGTAATTAGTGAAAAGGTACCGAGTTTTTATCAAGAATTAAGCCATGCGTACGTGTAATTGTGTAGGTTTCAGATGCCGGCGACGTCGATACCAAAGGACGCGGCGTATCAGATAATAAACGATGAGCTCATGCTGGACGGGAATCCGCGGCTGAACTTGGCGTCGTTCGTGACGACGTGGATGGAGCCCGAATGCGATCGGCTGATGATGGCTTCCATGAACAAAAACTACGTCGACATGGATGAGTACCCTGTCACCACTGAACTCCAGGTCAGCTAGTCCATCTATCATTTCTTATACTTCTACGGTAAAAATTTTGCGTTATCGGTTGTATATTGCATATGTCTTTTCTGTATATCTTTCGTCGAAAGTGAAAAATACATACAACTGGTTGCATATAGAGCCTCTCGCACGTATTTCTTCACTACTCGCTATGTAAATATTAACTATAACAAAGTTAACTTAATTTGCAAACAAATTTAGACGCCATCGAGATCTAGGCGGAAGTATTGGAGGATGCAAGTCAAACATTAGCGTTACGTATATCTATGGGTGAGAGGAAGACTGAGGATAGGATAACAATTCATTATGTATTGACAGCAACCTTCAACTTTGACTGCAGAAATTAGCGTATGGCTGCACCGTGTGCAGGCCCTGATGACTTCGTGGCTTAATATTAGAACATCCACCGAGAGTGGATTGCATGGTCCATGCTCCATAACACCAGTAACAGTATATTTTATTAGTAGTCCTTATCTTTTAAGAAATTAAACTCTTAATTTGGATGCATATGTTTGGGTTATTTCCATTTTCCAATGCACATGCACGCTATTCCATATTAGATAATGTTATGGAGATCAAAATTTTAAATCATATTTTTAAAATTAAATGATGTGTTATTAATAAAAAATAGTCACGTTAATCAACACTTATGTAATAATTCAATCATTAACAATCACATCATTTGGTTTACCAAATATGATTTAAAATTTTGATCTCCTTAGCATTACCCTTCATATATATCTTTTATTTTTTTTAATCAAAATTATTCTTGTATATTCATTGCGTCAATTGAAATTTTAAAAGATTGTTGATGCTATGTGAACAGAAAAAAAAATTTATTAGAACTTTTATTCGTAGCATAATAACTCCTCGCTCCTCGCTGTAAAACCAGCATATTCTCCAAAAGAAATATGCTTTTAAACATTACAATAATTTATAAACCTAATAATTCTAAGTTAAAAGTTGCAGGATGAGAAGATTGTTGTTATATATATTGTCCCAATTCATACTTGACATGCTTGTTAATCTTGACATTTCTTTCTATTTCTCTTTAAATGTAGAATCGGTGTGTGAATATGATCGCAAATCTGTTTAATGCTCCCATTGGAGACGGCGAAACTGCCGTTGGTGTGTCAACAGTAGGTTCTTCAGAGGCAATAATGTTGGCAGGTCTAGCTTTCAAAAGGAAGTGGCAACACAAGAGAAAACGAGAGGGAAAGCCTTCTGATAAGCCCAACATAGTCACTGGAGCTAATGTGCAGGTCAGAATTCTTTCTCTGATGACTTGCATTTACGAGCTGTATTCAATTGAGATTTAAAGGGTTATTGACACATGCCTACTGTTATTTCTCGATCAAAATATGTTTCGCAGGTTTGTTGGGAAAAATTCGCGAGGTATTTTGAAGTTGAGCTGAAGGAGGTGAAGCTTTCGGAGGGATACTATGTGATGGACCCTACGAAAGCTGTTGAGATGGTTGATGAGAATACTATCTGTGTTGCTGCTATTCTAGGCTCAACCCTAACAGGAGAGTTCGAAGACGTGAAGCTCCTTAATGATCTCCTTGCTCAAAAGAACAAGCAGACGGGATGGGATACTCCCATTCATGTCGATGCTGCCAGCGGAGGCTTTATTGCTCCGTTTCTGTATCCTGAGCTCGAGTGGGATTTCCGCTTGTCGTTAGTCAAGAGCATCAATGTGAGTGGCCACAAGTATGGCCTTGTATATGCCGGTGTTGGATGGGTTGTGTGGAGGAGTAAGGAGGACTTGCCGGACGAGCTTGTGTTTCACATCAATTACCTTGGATCTGATCAGCCCACTTTCACCCTCAACTTTTCTAAAGGTATATTGAATTATACTTTTATCTATCAATAGGTACTATGGAGTATGTACACATTTGCTCGTAAAGATTGGTTAATTAGTTTGCTTTTGGGTCGCAAAAACACTTTCTCGATATGCGCCTATTCGCTTCTTGAGGAAACATTTTCATGTGCTTCCTATGGAAGCACAGTGCTTATATCTCCGTATTCCAAGCTGAATCTTATGAGCAAAAGTGCTTACTATACAATCAGTCCCTAAAAGATCCCTTAACCTTCACCACATATTGTAATTCTTCCATCATATATATGTTGTACTGCATGCAGGTTCTAGCCAGATAATTGCTCAGTATTATCAGTTCATTCGACTAGGTTTTGAGGTAAACTTTGCTACCATTTCATGCATAAAAACCTACGTTAGCCAAAATGTTCTCCGGTTTGATTTTACACAACATGATGTTTTATTGTCTGAGTAATTTGTTACTGTTTCCCGAAATATATTAGGGTTACAAAAATGTGATGATAAACTGCATGGAGAATACAAGATTGCTGAGAGAAGGACTAGAGAAAACAGGGCGGTTTGAAATACTCTCCAAAGACATAGGAGTGCCCCTTGTGGCATTTTCTCTAAAAGACAGCAGCAAGCACACTGTGTTCGAGGTAGCCGATAGTTTGAGGAAGTTCGGATGGATAGTTCCAGCCTACACGATGCCAGCCAATGCAGAACATGTAGCTGTTCTTCGCGTGGTTATTAGGGAGGATTTCAGCAGGGGTTTGGCGGAGAGGCTCGTCTCAGACATTGACAAAGTTATGAGGGAAATAGACACACTCCCGAGCCACGTGTCTAGCAAAATCGCCCATGTCACGGCTACTGTCGACGAAGTAGTCAGCGGCAGCAAGGGGGTTGTGAAGCCTATTGTTCATAAGAGTGCGACAGAGATTGAGCAACAGGTAGTGTCGCGCTGGAAGGAGTTTGTGAATGGGAGAAAAACAGGCGTATGCTAGGCAATATTTTAAGGTGTGATCGTGTTTGGTTTCTTCAATAATTGAGGACTTATTTGATTTGCCTGTGTAATCGTAAGGACGGTACTGGCTTGTTCTCAACTTTTTCCCGACTCTGTAAAATTATGCATGTATAAGAGGATCAGCTTTCCCTCTGTGCTCTACTACTGTAGGTTTCCCAGAAACTGTGTGTTTGGAACCCACTATTCTAAGTTGGTTTTGGTATTTTTAACGAGTAATGTTAGGGAAATCAAAATTTTTAAAATAAATTTGCAAACTAAATTATGTGATTGTAGATGATTGGGTTATTAATTAAGTGTCGATTAACATGCTGGTTTCTTATTAGTGACACATCATTTGATTTACAAATTTTGTTTAAAAATTTGATCTCTCTAGCATTATCTATTTTTTATGATTAAGGACGATTAAGTGCAAACTTGTCTTTGAATGGTGAAAAGTCATGTGGTATCTGAGGCAATGTAAAAAAGAAGATATTTTGGTGAGGACGACGAAGGCTAGCGTTTATGGTAGAAGAGTATGCGAGAAGAGAGAGGGCGCTCAATCTCTCAAAACCAATTGTTGCAATCTTTCATTTTCAAATTAAAGCTTTATTTTATTTAGCAACCTTTTATTTCAAAGCTTTACTCAATAGTGTAAGTTCTCTCATCATAGTTGTGTTGTCTTTATAAGTATTCGTAATTAAATTTCTCTCTCTCCCTCTCTCTTGTAATAGTTACCAGCACTTCAATATAAGATCTCTTTTTGATTTATCATTGTTATTTTAATACAAAACACTTAAGCAATTTCTCTTTCTATTTGAATCAAGGCTTGAGCAGCTGAGCTCTTGTGATTTAATTATATACATAAGTAAAATTCTTAATAAGCAAGGCAACGAAAGAACTTAAAGTTGAGCCACTCCCACTTAATGCCACAATCTTTTGGTTAGAAGTCAATTAAAGGCAATCTCCATCACTCAAAATCTCGTCTTCCAGCGATAACTAATAGTGGCGCGCTTGAATCTCCAATTTCATATTTAAGTAAATTTCCGGCCTACCAGCAAGGCTCATGGCTAATTTAGGGAGAGAACATTTTAGCATGCCCGGTGGGATACTTATGCGGAGTTAATTAGAAGTTTGATCATGGACAATCCTAATGCTCATGACTTCGCTCAACATGCTTTTGGTGACTACGTCTTGCAGTAATTTTTCTATTTTTTCAACTTTAAAAATCAATAAAAAAATAGTTCCGAGACCTTATAAACGGTAGGATCACATCTAAAGGTCTTACAACATTTTCATTCACTCGTAGGCAAAATATTTCCTAAAACTAAACATTTCAATTTTTTTCACAACTGTGAGGTTATAACTCACATTTTCCGATGAATTTTGATGATTTTTACAAGATTCAATATAACCCAAAATTTGAGTTATTCTAGCCGCATCACACCTTTAATAAAATTAATTTAGAACATTCTTAAGATTTTCAATACCTACAAATCTCTTTGGGGGCCCACTACTAGTTTATATTCTTTTTTCTATTTTTCAATTTTAAAAATCAATAAAAAATGATTTTGGAATCTAAAAAACGTTAGAATCACATTCAAAAGTCTTGCAACAGTTTCTTTAATTCTGACGCAAAATATTTCCCTAAAGTCTTGCTTAGTGAGTGCAAAAATGAAAACGGATTCCTCTCACAGAAAACGAGACGGACTCTTTGCATACAAAATAAAAACGATTCCTCTCACAGAAAACGAGACAGATTTTTAAAGTGCAAAACAAGATGAGCTCGGTCCACAAAAAATATGACACGCAAAACTCTCTCACTGAGTCACCAAACAAGCCTGATAGACAAATAAGAGGCCTCTTCCACTGGATCCCTGTCTCCCAGCCCTAAACGCCCAGGCCTACCAAAACACACTCTCTAACTAAGCCACCGTCCAGTGCCCACTTCAAAACGCCCATCCGCTGCTGGAGAGTGAATACTCTCTGTTTTCTGCAAAACTTCCCCCCTCTCCCTCTCCCTCTCAAAAATTACTACTGGGTTTTTGTGTTTATCATTATCCAACTGACTCATTAGCTCTGGGTCTAAACCAGTGAGGCCTATATTTTATCAATTTATTGACTTTCAAGAGCCACTCATTGTCCCTCCGCACTTCTAATGCCAATTTCTTTGGATATTTGAGATCCCCGATTGAACCCACATCAAGTTTTCGAAATTACATGCTCTCTGCGTGCTCATGTTATCATTTCATGCCATTTCTAGGGACCCCTGGTTTAAGTTTTGTCAAAGTTTCGCAACCCATGGATGTTCTTGCTGGATTTAAGGTCAATGTGCGTCCTTTTTGTTCAGAAAGTGTTGTAGTCGGTCAAGTTTGGATTTTGATGGGGTTGGTGACGAAGGAAAGTTAATAGAAAATGATGTCGATAAGTTGTACAAGGCGATTATGGATAACTCTCACTCGTATTGTGATATGGAGAAAGCTCTTGATCAAGTTGGTTTACCATTGACTACTCCATTGGTTGTTCGAGTGCTTGATATATTGTCGTGCACGAGGTATAAGGTGAAGCAGTTTCGAATTGTTTGTGATTTACTGGATTATACGAAGACGCATGACAAGAATAAGGTTCCCGTTGAGGTTCTTTTAAAGATTTTGAAGCAATACACGGAAAAGCATCACACGTATCTGCAGAAATTTGCCAAGAAGAAGAGGATAAGGGCGAAGACGCAGCCGGAAATCAATGCCTTGAACCTGCTGTTGGATGCTTTGTGTAAATCTAGTCTGGTTCAGGATGCCCAAGACATGTTACGGAGGGTGAGGAAAATGTTGGTATTCACAAGAGTTTGCTAACTCAATACCAAAATAGATGTGGGTGATAAGTTTACAAACTCTATCACACCTCTCACTTTCACTCTCAATAAAATTGGACAAGGAAAGAAATAGAGAAATAGAGAAATAGAGAAAGGAGGGAAGCAACAAGCTTTCGTAAAACACTTGCACTTAGATTTATGAAAAGAGAGTTTACAAACTCAATAGCTTACAAGCTGAAATTAAATGAATGGGAAATGGGATTCGGATGGGATGATCTAAAGCTTAGCAAGATGGCCTATTTATACAAAACAGAAATTAATAAACAATGCAACAACACATGCAATGAATGGGGTGTTTAACATCTTTACACCCTTTAAAACATGCAGGAACTTTGGACAGTCTAGCACTCATATGCAGCTATCTTTCCAGCTTGCAATCAACACTCTTTCGGCTAATACATCACATGGCAGCACACTGCTGTCTTGTAATCAGCTTTCGGCTAACAGATGGAGGGAGCAATGATCTTTGTAGTTGCTGGAAACAACCTGGAAAGAAACTAACAACTTGCTTTAACCATTAACAACCTGTTTTGATTTGATTTTCCAACAGAAAAAGGTTAAGCCTGATGCTAATACATACAACAATTTGTTTTTTGGTTGATGTAGAGTTAGGAACCTGACTAGAGGAATGAGGCTGCTGGAAGAGACGATCCAAGAGGGTCATACACCTGATAATTTCACATACACTACTGCCATTGATGCCTTTTGCAAGGCAGGGATATAAGGTTGTGAATGACAATGAATGATGTATTGGCTTACTTATGTTGTAGGCCACTTGTTTATTGAGCTGTTAACAATTTAAGTAATTTGACAGTCCTAATGAAATAAAGATTATGGAGTCTTATCCTTTGCAATTGACCTAAAGAAATCTGATGGATTTCGTTAGAAAGATATAGTATCATGGTGGGACTTGAACACTTAAGTGATAGGGTTTGATTTTCACAACCAATAATAGGCCGGCTGTGATCAAATCCCAAGGGTATATAAATACTAGGTTAAGTTCCTGCTTCCATACGTTGAATTCCTCAGAATACTAAAACATATTCATATAGTAGAGGGATATTTTGGAGTATTAGAAGGAGAAGGCAACCTTGTGAACTCATCTTTTGTCATCTGGAAGAGCCATGTCTTTCGTATTCTACAGATAAGTTCAATATATTTAGTTCATCTCTATTTTATATTGATTTGATTTGTTCGTGATCCTAATATCTTGTTGTTTGATTTCAGAATATGTCTTACAAGGGATAGTTTCTGAGGCAACTTAAGTTTTTGAATTCATGCGAACGAAAGGTTCTACGCTTTCTTCTCCCACCACAAAAACTTATGCAATTATGATTGGCTGTCCAGCATGATAAACAGTGGTTGTCATCCTGATGTTTCTTCATACAAGGAGCTACTTGAAGGGATGTGTTTGGCCGGGAAGGTGGTGGAGGCTTGTAAGTTTTTGCAAGAGATGGGGAACAAAGGTTACCCTCCTGACATAGTTACATATAACTGTTTTCTCAAGGTCCTTTGTAACAATAACAAGAGAGATGAAGCACTTAGGCTTTACGGAAGGATGATAGATGGAGGTTGTATGCCTAGTGTGCAGACTTATAACATGCTGATTTCAATGTATTTTGAGATGAGTGATCCTGATGGAGCATTTGAGACTTGGCATGAGATGGATAAGAGGGGCTGCGCACAGGACACTGATACTTACTGCATGATGATTGAAGGGCTTTTTTATTGCAATAAAGTGGAAGATGCATGTTGCCTATTGGAAGACGTTGTAAACAAGGAAATGAAATTGCCTTACAGCAAGTTTGATTCGTTTGTGACGGAGCTTTCAGTGGTTGGTGGTCTTCGATCCATTCACAGGCTTTCGAGTCGTATGAGAAAGTTCTATAATCCTTCTATGGCAAGACGTTTTGCATTGAACAAGAAACGGAAGAGCACGAGTTTGAGAGAGCGCTGATGAAGTTTGTACCAATTTCCCTGATGTTTTGAGATAAAATCTTGATGCTGTACCAGGTCAGCTATGCCTTGGGCTGGAACTGGAGTGAATTTAGTTCAAACCCAACATGGAGAATTTTCTGCCAATAAGTCCCGAATGTTGTATTTTGGATTGTTTTTGCGAAGGATTACGGAAGGAGGATTAGAAGAGCTGCTAGTTGAGGGTGATGAGAAGGTGGAGAAAATGCGGTGATGAAAATTCAGAAATCAACATTGTGTTTCTGCCTTGGTTCCAATGATGATTGATATACAGGTCCGAGATGGACAACTTGCGAATGGGCAGCCGGCACCCCTCTCACAATGGAACCAGAGGTGGGTCTCGGTCATACAATAATACAAGGACGTCTCGGTCCTGTGTTGCCGGCCGGACAAGTGATCCGGCTGCTAGACACGAGATGTTCCCCAGATGGAGGTAATTACGTGAAGATTAGAATTTTTAAGCAGAGGGAAGCTAATGTTTAGCCTTTGGCCCTTGTTTGTATCTAATTTTAATGGAAATAAAAAACCCACAAAGTTATAGAGCTTGAACTATAAAACTAATCTTTTTTTTTTTTTTTTTTTTTTTTTTTTGCGGAAAGTGAATTTTTATTTATTTATTGTTGGGATTCGGACTTATATTATGTTCAAATATTGAGACGAAAATTACTACTCGCTGTCAATAATTAGTTAGTTGGAAAAACAAAACTTCAAAGGATTCGATAGAACTTCGAACACTATTCCATTGGAAAATCTCATTAAATTAAAGTTGCCAACGTTCCCAAACATATAATTTGCAACAAATAATAAAGATTAAGTAGATGATACAATTTAAATTTAAATATATGTATTATGTTGCCAGTCAGTACTACGGTCTGATTGTATTTTTTTAAATTTGGAAATAAGAGGTTTTAGGTTCGAATTTTATGAATGACTACCAAATTAGGTTGTCCATCAGGTGGTTTAATTGAACTCTCCCTCTTGTAAAAATATTGATTTACTAAAAAAATATATATATATATATATATATCATGTTTTAAAATTTAAATTTAATGCGATTGTAAACAAAACAGGGGCATAATGGGAACTTCGCGTAAGTAGATGATATATTTTCCCGCCTCATGTGGAAAAAGAGGGAAGAATGACATTTTCCCGCCCAAAACAAGCAAAAACCCCAAACGCCGCTGAAACCCCGTACCTTTAGGTTTAGCTCTTACCAATCTGAAGAGAGAGAGAGAGAAATGAGCAGCTCGGGGAGGAAGAAGGTGCAGAGGAAGTGCAAGATCAGAGGGTACACGCTTGACCCGGACGCCGTCGACGAGATCCTCTCTTTCGCGTCCAATTTCGACGACTCTGCTCCCGACGACGATGCCATCGATCTCCTCCTCGACTTCCTCGAGACCCAACCCCGTAATCCCCCCATTTTTTCTTCCAATTTTCACCTTTTCTTCATCATTTTCAATTTCCTCTTCTTCTTCCTAAACAAAAGATTGCGTCTTTTTCTTGGGGATTGCAGGAAAGGACAAGGAGACGGTGCACCGCCTCGTTACCAAACTGTCGCGTGCTGATGCAGCCGTCTACGACGGCGATGATGACGGTGGTAGTAGTACCTCTGAACCTGATTGGCACATAATTGATGCCTTCAAGGTCCCAAAGTTCCGATACGATCCCATCAAGAAAAGTTTCTACAAGTATGTTTCTTTTTGGCCAACCAATTCATTAATTCTTTGTAACGTGAATGTGTTCAACAGGCCAATGTGTTTTTCTTTTCGTTTTTCGGGTTGATTTTAGGCATACTGGGAGATTATCTATTCATGGCGAAGCATCAGCTAAATCGGCTCTGTACAAGGATAGGTTTCTCTTGCTCTCCCAGATTATCTCTCGCCAAAAGGAGTTTTCCAGACCAGCATTTGGTTCTAAATCGTCGGATTCAGGTCGCCGCGAGGTTGGTACTCACATTTTATTTCTTTGAGCAACTCTGATTGGGGTCCTTTAAGCGCCAAGGTTGAATTGAATAACTTTATATATATGATATGCTGGTCAGATATCTCCAATTCAGTCTCTGATTGGGCAAACCGGAAGGAGATGGGTGATGGGTCTGATATCTCAGTTGGAGGATGGCCATTTTTACTTGGAAGACCTTTCTTCGTCTGTGGAAATCGACTTATCGAATGCAATATCCTTTACGCACTCTAAGCATTGATAACCTCAGTGTTGATTTTATGACCCTCATTGATTCCGTGTCTTTTTGATAGAGACTCAGTTATGCCATGAGTTATGTCTATGCCTGAATCGTAAACTCCAAAGTTGAGGTTCAGTCAAATGAAAAGTGTTAAATGATCATTTTCTTTGACAATGCATACCAGATAACTGCAGGGTTTTTCGTGGAGAACACAATAGTTGTCGCAGAAGGTGAGATGCTTTTAGAGGGTGTCTTTCAGGTTAGCTAACATCCTTTGCTTCTCTACACTCTTAATAAAAACCGCACATACTTTTACTAGAATTTAGTTTTCAAAATACCAGTACTTAATATCTTGTAATTCCCAAGGTAGAACAATTTTTAGCTGCTCCTCGGAACTACTTATTCTCGCCTACTGTGAGGCTGAATTTTCATATCATAATGTGGTAATCGATTTAGCTAATCACTTATTTTGTTTGTGAAGGTGATTACTTGTGGATTTCCTCCGCTTGAGCCCAGAGACGAGTCCCTCCAATTTATTGCAGGGAATGAATTTTTTGGTAGTAGTTCTCTTACAGAAGAGGAGACTGTATCCTAAAATTGCTGTGGTCATTTGGACTTGTTCAAAATTTTGTAAACATAGCTGGTATATGATTGTTGAACTTTATAGACTAGCCAAAGGATATTGTGGATATATAGTTTCCTTTACACTTTAAACAGCTTAGACTTGCAAAGTTGGATAGGACAGTAGCTAATGACAATGTTGTCATACTATCTGACATTTGGCTCGACGATGAAGAGGTGACTAACATTCTTTTTCTTATGAAATATGCTAATGACTTGTATATTTTCGCAGAGTTTCTCAACATTACGTTGATAATTCTTTTCTTATTTGACAAGGCTATGGGAAAGCTAGAGACAGTATTCAGTGCCTTTGAGGATGAAGAATTTGTACCATGCTTATTTGTACTCATGGGGAATTTTTGCTCTCGCCCATGTAATCTTGCTTTTCATTCTTTCTCCAGTCTCAGGTCAGGAATATTTTGATAAGATTTATTTTGATACTCTGGATAGTCTTTCTTTCTCACGTCAGTATACGCAATAGTGAGCTCCCTAGACCTGCAGGTTGCAGTTTGGTAAGCTAGGGAAGATGATTGCAGCCCATCCACGGCTAGTAGAGGGTAGTTGTTTTCTATTTATCCCAGGTCCTGATGATGCAGGTATACGACGCTTGTTTTAATATGCTGCTCCAAAGATAAAGTCTTTCTTAAAAAATGTGCGTAAAGTCTAGGTACATACTTGATTAATCTCTGCTTTTTGATAATTTCAGGCCCTTCAACAGCTCTGCCCAGGAATGCTTTACCAAAATATTTAACGGAAGAGCTTCAAACTCACATTCCAAATGCCATATTTTCCAGTAATCCTTGCAGGTAAGTGTTTTCTGAGCACTGATTCTGTTGGCTACAATAAATTCCAAGACAAAAGAATTTATCTCTCACCAGGGTACCTTGTGGTTCTTGAGATACAAAGTTTCTTCTGTGCTTGTATTTTCAGTTGTCCTGCTGATCAATGACTTCCCATTCTTGAATGCAGATTAAAGTTGGGTGCCAAGGAGGTTGTATTTTTCCGTCAAGATCTGCTCTACAGAATGCGTCGTTCCTGTCTGGTTCCCCCTTGTACAGTAGAAACTGATGATCACTTTGAGCATGTAACATCTCTCCCTCTCTATCTATCTAACATTGTCAATATCTTGTTGACTAACGTGCATGATCACCAAGGAAACTTAACAGTTTCTCGATTTTTCATTTTGTCACAGCTTGTTGCCACCATAACCCATCAATGTCATCTCTGCCCACTCCCTCTTACTGTACAACCCATCATTTGGAATTACGATCACTCGCTTTACCTCTATCCAACTCCCGACACGGTAATTCTAAGATTCGATCTGGCTTTCATTTTTTTTTTTTTTTTCAGTTTTGATTTAGTTTAGGTGCTCTAAATTTTGGGAGGTCTAAGATTTCTTTTATCCTTTGATCTTGCTGTGCAGATAGTTTTAGGTGACAGAAGTGACCAGAAGGCTTTCAAATACACAGGAATCACTTGTTTTAATCCTGGTTCCTTCTCAAGTGATAGTACCTTTGTGGTATTCCGTCCCTGCACCCAGGAAGTCGAACTGTCGTCCCTGTAGTCACAATTCATCTGTCGGTTGGCGAAATTAGCACTTGGAATCAATAACACGATGTCATGTGTTTTTAAGTTTTTCACATAGCATCGCTTGATTAATTTTAGAAACTGCTGACTTGGCATGTCCACTTCATGTGAGCCGTCCCGATTTAGCGTTGGAGGTACCACTTTGTATTTACCATCATGAATCATGATGTTTTGACTGGAACATCAAAATCAGAGGTAGCAGGGTTTTACAAATAATTACATTCTTTGTGGAAATACAACGTGGCAAAGAGCTCAACATTTCAAACATGCACCTAACTTGAACATTTACTGCTGCTGTAAACTTTCATTGAATTTAGAGCTAACCGTACTCTTATGTTTTAGGTGAATTCGGAAAAGGAATATGAAGTTACATCACGAGATACTAAATTTATATGAATTTATGTTTGTTAGTTATCAAACTATTTGACCTTTCGGTAAATTGAACATGGGACATGTTTTTAGACAGTGTAGAAGCCACACTTATGCTATTATAACCAAAATGTGTGATTAGTTGTTTTGGAATACGAAAAATTGATTTCAAAACTTTATAACGCAATGTGAAAAGAAAAATTAAAACATTGTGATTGATTTTAAAA